AAAGAAACGTAAGGCAATACTCATCTTTTTCAAAACATAACTGGGTTTTAATTTAATTAAACCAAACTTGAACGTAAGTTTTCGTAATGCTTCAGAAGACATTATCATTCGGCAATTGGTAACTTGATAATTACAAGACATACTTGGTCTGGAGCAACTTTGCAAGCCTGACTGCATCCTCTTGTCCAGATACCAAAGTGAAATTCGGCAAAAGCTGCTTAATAACAGGTGTAATAACAATGTCGGCACGTTCTTTCTCCACAAACTTGTCGTTGTAAACACAGTGTGGTTCATAGTAAAGCCTCAGCTTTCCATTTGGAGACGTGACAATATAACTGCATAACACTTTTTTTTTTTTATTAGGGACGTACAAGGTAGTGAAATATTTATACAACATTTTATGGAACAGAATGTACCCATTCTCGGGGCGCTGCCAAGGTGGGCCTAAAATGGGTCCAGCAGTGGCTCGAATGTTGACAGCATTACACCCATTGTTCACTTTGATCTCTGATTCCTCACCAGGCTCTAGGTACGTAACCTTAGATATTATTAGGTAAGGTAAATGTTAGAGAGAAGCCCAAACCAAGAAATATCTAAGGTCTGCCATGCTTTATCATCCATTGACAAGCAGTTATTGACTTATGGTATATGATTTGATCAGTTTCCATTTAGAAGCAAAATAGTGTATTCCCTTCCCTCAAAGATATTTTTTTCTTCCTTTTTGTCTTTTTCAGTGTTTGCAAACACCCCCTTAGCACCCTGTAATGATTTTATGGTCTTTTAATTCTATACAAATGAATAATTCAGATGAACTTTTCTTTTTCGCCACATTAACGGAAAAGTGATTTGCCAAACATTTTCTTGGGATATGATCCCAAGACACACTCTTTTATGTTTGCTTCAGTTTGGTTGTTGACACAGTTTTGTCGCATAAATGAAAAGACAAAAATTAAACTGTTTCATGAAAGAAACCATCACAATTTTTAAGCCTCAATGAGATAATATATGTACAAAGAAATCAGCGTTAGCATAATATAGCTCATCATGAAACATGAACTTGATTACATCCTACAAAACAAACTACAGTCTCTTCACTATTAAGCATTATCAAACATTTTAACTCACATTGTTGAATAAAGGATCCAAAAGCGCTTTAGCATTGGGAGGCGCAATAACACTCAAATTCGATAATTTTTGAGAAAGGGGCTTTAATGTCTTCAAGTGGCAATGATCGTCAAGGCTTTGTGTGATTAGTAAGCAGTCGAGTTCAGGAAGGTCATCAAGCTGCAGTCGTTCGACCAAAGTATCACTTACAAACTTGAAGAATGAACTAGAAACAATTGATGGTAATACCTTAAAATTTCTCAAAAACTTCTTTGCAGCATCGTATAGCCATGGAATTCCAAAGTCCAAATTACCCACCAAGATTGGGTCAACCAATATTTTTGCCCCTCCAACTTCCCAAAACCAACTATTACCCTGACACTCAAATGAGGAAAAAAGTTTCAACTGTACTCAAGAAATTGAAAGTCAAATGAAAGACTCATAAGAAACTAAAAGCCCACCTCCAAATAAGTGAGTTTAAAAACATCAGACTCCGAGTCACTGGACTCAATCACTTGCTCGTCTGATACAGCAGCTGAAAGTCTCTCGTTCAATCTGTATAGTAAACAAATGAGCTCAAATTTAACTTATTTCTTGAACTTAGCCAGAATACGTAACTAAGATGCCTAAATCAGGCAAAAAAAAAAATGCCTAAATCAGGCAATTTCGAATAATTAATATCAATCTAAACCAGTAACTTTAAATGAAGATGCCCACTTATCTCCCGAACTTGAACGAAAACCCAAAATGCCCATTCAAAAAGAAAATGAATAAAATTAAGTGAGAGCAAAAACCTGGGAACTGAGAACTTCAGTGGTATAGAATAGATGGGAAATTGATGAGTATGGTTAGAGTAGGTGATATGGGCTGTTGAAAACAGATACCTACGATTAGATTTCTCAACACATGGTTTGTGAGTGAAATGGTGAGAATAATTGCAGTGGGTGGCCATAATTGCCCTAAGTTCGGAGTGTAAGCTCAAAACGGGCATAAGAATTGGATTGAGTGCGTGCGTGTCTCCAACTCTCCAAGATTTGGCACCAATACAATATGCTACTTTTTTTATTGGATGTTATGTGATTGATTTATTTTTTTCAATTAGTTCAAAAATAATATATTCCAGATGTGTTCATGTAAACATGAGTAATAACACGAAAGTTCTTTAATTTATATTTATATTTGTATAATTCAGATATTTATATATCTTATATATAGTTAGGAAACATTTTGCATGATCTTATTGTCATTATTTAATGTAGGAAGTTTAGATATGCATGGGCGCGGATAGAAGCTTGCATGGAGAGAAGATCTTTGGAGAGAGAAAAGAAGATATACACTTACCATGTTTCAATCAATATTCTTGAAAGGAAATCGAAAAAGAAAGGAAGTTACTTGAAGAAGACTTCACGCCTACGAAGTCTATAAAAACCCTACATGAAGATCAATTGAAGGCTGCTGAGATTATCAACATTTCCAGCATTCAATTGAGAGTTCGAGTTCTTGTTTTCCTTTTAGTTGATAGTTCAGAGAATGTTTCTTTCAATGTCGAAGAACTGAACCCGTTTTGTTTTAGTTTTTCTTATTTTATTCAAATACTTTGGTTTTAGTAATTAGGGATTAAGTACTGAGTTTTTCTCGACGGATTCCAGAGTGTGAAGTCCACAAGACGTGGTCGGAAAAGTAGTTGATAGTTTCGAGTGTAGTTGTTGCTAGACTATAAGGGAGTTCTAGTTTTTGGACGTCCAAACTATACACGAGTGCACAATCAATTTATCAATGAAAGATCTCTGGGGGTAGTGGGACGCTCCTCGAAGAGTTTATATCTCTTGTTTTGTTCTTCCGCTATTTCAATAATTTCTGGTGTTGCAACATAGATTTAAAAGTTACAATTAATTCGTGTTCTAACACTGTTGAACGCACTCTACGAGTAATACCTACGTTTAATTATGTATTTATTTTATGGTTGTAAGAGTAACGAAACTAACGGCTCTAAGAGAAGGATAATTGTTTCGGTTAGTCCTAATGTTGCCACATGAACCCAAACATTAAATCGAAAATTTTCATTTTAATATTTTTCAGCTTAAGTGAGCAACAATTGATAGTCTCTTGGAATAAGAGTGTCGAAATTCTCTCTAGAATAACAATTGATAGTCTCTTTAGAATAAGAGTGTCGAAATTCTCTCTAGAGTGTCGGGTTCCTCTGATGCAAATGATGGTCGGTATGTTCAAGAACGCATACCATTAGGCGCGACGTTCGAGCATAAAGGAGGCCCGTGCAGTAGTAGGGACCCGCGCAACAGCAGCTGATTGCGTGGAGGCTCGCGCGGTAGGGGCTGATTGTTTATTGTGTTTTTATGTTTATTTTCATGTGATTTATGTGTTTTAGTTTAATCTTTTTAGGTTCGTTTTTGTGTCATCCGGTCTATTTTGTTGTGTTTTTAGGTGTTTTTTGTTCCCATTATATGTGTTTGGTATTTTGTCCTATTTTCGCGTCTCTTTTTGTGTGTTTAGGTCCATTATGCACGTTTGGGGAATCGAGCCATTTTCCGAGCCATTTGATCGAGCCATACGAGTTTCCGAGAGAGAAATTACCGATTGAGTCACCCGAGTGAAGGAATCAAGTTGAAGGTCATGTTCGCGGCGAAATCCGATTCGCGGTCCGCGAGACGGCACTAGGAGGTCAAGCCTAGGCACTCGCTCGCGAGATCACATTGGCGGGCTGCAAACCACGCATGGGAGCTTGGTCCAGCACTCGCTGCGAACGAGTGTTGGAGCCTTGCGAAGCAACGTCGCGAGAGAGGAAGCATCGCACTCGCTGCGAATTGCTACCCGCGACCAGCGACATGCGACAGCCCTTTTCCCTGCACTCGCCGCGAGCCTTGTTTGGCGGTCTGCGAAGCGGCGCGACGCGAGCAAGCTAGCGCTACACTCACTGCGAACGGTCACTGGCTTGCCGCGAGGCGGCGCGTGACACTCCTTCCTCGAGCACTCGCTGCGACTGTCTTTTGGCGGCCCACGAAATGTGCCCGTGTGTGTTATTTTCAGCTTAAACTTGCGGCGAAGTGTTTTTCGAGACCTGCGAACGCCAGAAATTAGTAAATGTGTGTGGTTTTAGTATGTGTTTGTGGTGTAGTTATAAATAGACATTGTGCTTTGTATTTTTGGACATCTCCCCTCATTTCCAAACTTTTAAGTTGGGAAATCCTCTCTATTTTCTCCCTTTTATTTTTGTTCTTTGGTTTGGAGGTCCATGACTCTATTTTTCCGGCGAAATTCCGGCAAGTTTATTTTCATCCAAGTATCGAGCTTTATTCACTATTTTCGTTCAAGCATGTGATAGAAGAGTAGGTACCTTGCTTAGGCCCTTCTACTTCAAGTTTGTGTTGTTGAATTGTGTGTATGCTCGTTTTTAGTGTTTTGCTTTATTTTTATTGCTTTCTTACGTGTGTTAGGAATATATATGTGTTTATCTTGTGTAGAGATCTCGACTTTTCTTAAAGCGTGATGATCTAGTGTTGAAGGCTCGTGCTAGATTACCTAGGATCACTATGCTCGCATGTGTTCTCTTGTTTATTTTTCTTTTTCTTGAGTCATGGAGATTCCGGTAGACCAAAGTTTCGATCTTTCTCTCTATATTTGCATTTTCCATCATTTGCTTTAGATTCTTTTAATTTCGTGCAATCATCCCCAATCAAGCGAGTAGCATGTTTAGGACCTTGTTTTCAGTTATGTGACTTTTATGACTAGGTAGTGAACGAAGTTCCGAAACAACCTTCCTTGGACAACGACGCGAGTCGGGTAGCTCGGTTACCACATGCCCAAAAATACTACAAACAAAACGGCGCCGTTGCCGGGGAAAGCGAGTGGGATGCCAAGTGTAATGCCCCGTTTGATTATTGAATAATTAGGAAGTATTATTTATTATTATTTTTTTATAATTATTATTATTATTATTATTATTATTATTATTATTATTATTATTATTATTATTATTATTATTATTATTTATCTTTATTTGTTGTTATTATTCTTTGTTGAATGTTAAATATTATTAAATGTCTATATGATTTAATTGTCAAATTGCTTAACTGTCTAAATGTTATTTAAATTGCCAAATTGTAATTAATTGCCTAACTGTCTAAGTGTTATTATTTAATTAAATTTTTTTTAATATTATTATTTTTAAAAATTTAATTGTGTGTATATATATATATATATGATCCGATTTAATTAATCAGGCCCGAGAAAAACTGTATTGAAGCTACGTCTAGACGGGCCCTAGAGCCGAATCGTTTCATTGAACCAACCCCGAATCGCGTGACCCGGCCCGTCAGACCCGACTCGAACCGCCCGCCCAAGTATGTATGGGCCTACAAGACTTTTTAACCCTAGCTTAATTATTTTTTTCTCGCTCGCGATTTCAGTACAGAGAAAATCATATCCCCGCAGTCTTTTCCTTTTTCCATGTTTTCTCTCGATCGCATTTGAGCAAGAACAGAGAAAATCCTTTGCCTTCATCGTCCCTCAACCTCGCCATCCGTCGCGGCGACCAATTGCTCCATCTCCGGCGATTCTAGCAGCAACGCCGTGAACCAGTCCCGTCGAACAGCAACCCCTTCTCTGCGGCGACCCTCCGCCGCGACGCCACCGCGAGCAGAGCCATCCCCGACCCCGGCCACCTTCTCGCGACGAGCTCTCTCCTCTCCGAGCCTATGATTTCCGACACACGCTCCTCACCGCGCGACTCCGTCTCTACCACCAGTGGGCCGTTGTGATGAGCAGCTTTGTCAGACCTTCCAGCTGTTCTCAATTCCGGCAAGCCCTCCGCCATCGCAGCAGCCCTCCTTTGCCGCGGACAGCCACCCGGTCGCGACTTTCGGCGATTTTTCTTGTTCGAGCAGCAACGCACCGCGGCCAAGCCCTCACGCCGCGACATCAGATCCTTTGCCCCGCCGCGTGTTTCTATCAACGGCGAGCAGCAGTTCCCTCCTCCACTCACGAGCAGTACCGCCGACGAACAAGACGAGATGAATTCTTGTTGGCGACCTCCACAAGCAGTTGCGGCCCTCGTTCTATCCATTCACGTCGAGAAATCCTTGTAAGCGAGCCCCTGTTCAAATTTCAGATTTCACCGAACCTCCTTTTCGAGCTGCAGCAGGCAGCCCGAACGTCAGCGGCACCTCGTCGGCCCTCGTTCGCAGCAGCCATCCCTTCACAGCAACGGCCGGATTCCTTTTTCCGTCGAGCAGTGGCCTTTCGGGCGCGTGCGAGGATAACAACGGGCAGTCTTTTGTGTAAGGGTTAGCAGCGATAAGCCGTCGATCCCCCCGTTGTGCGCCATCAACCCTCGTTCGACCCGACATCGCGACCTGCTCCTCCGTGAGACGTCACTCTCAGCCCTCGAACTTCAGCGAGCTCTGTCAGGCGCAAACGGATGAGTTGTCCACTCCGCGAGATAGCCGTTCGGCCCTTCGTTTTCGTTTTCGATTGAATCCCGAGATCGGTACAAGGCTCGACCCGTCTCGCTAAATCCTATATATTATTTTATGTGCTCGATTATGTGAAATGAGTGTTAAACGTGCTTTGTGAATTTAAATTCGTGCCTTAGTTGAGTAATTGTATGGATTTTATTTTATATTCGCAAATTGGATATCAAAGTGATTGTCGTCACTTTGAATTGTTGTCGAACTGAATATTATGTGGTTCGTTTCGTGGAAATACTAGAGTTCTAGGTACTTGGAGTTATCCTTAATTGTTTATTTTTGGTTTGAAGTCGTTTCGAGTTGTATTTTGAGAGTTATGATTTTTCTAAACCGAGCATGCTGCTGAACCGTAATAAATTCACCATAAATCGAGTCGTTATCCGTTTGAGCTGAATGTTTTATATGTTGTGCCTCTGAGTATGTGGAATAAGTGTGCCAAGCCCCTGATTTTATCTTTGGGTTTTTGGTGTTCAAATGATTAAAACGGGTTCTAGTCAGAAACTTGTAAAATTCACTAAAAATCGTACACTTGGAGTATTGAGCTGAAACTTTAAG